GTATTGATTGATAAAACTTGTTGATTATCAGTATAAAAATTAGAATTTGTTTCATATTAAAAAAAATTATTTAATTAGGAGGATGTGGAAAAGGAAGTCATAGGAGAGGGAATAGCAGAACAAAGAATCACAGAACAGGGAATCACAAAAGAGGGAATCATGAAACAGGGAATCGCGGAAGAGGGAGCCATGGAAAAGAGACAAGTCATGAAGGTCAACGTGATAATGAATATGAGACAAGTATCGAACCTTCTACTCAAAATATTGAACACAATGACTCTTATTCAAATTATGAAAAAGAAATTGAATCAGTTAACAGTAAAGAAACTAAGACTTGTAAAATTCTACATTTTAATAAATTTATCATACTAATAACTTAAGTGTATCAAATACAGTACAAGCATCATCATCAAAAACTGCAAGTCACTCAAGTTGTAACTTAACAGCATCAAGAGTCTTAGGTTATAAATTATTTCATTTCATTTTTTAGGAATAAGTGATTTGCAATTGTAATTTATAATAACTGCTAAATTTATCTTTAATCTTTTTAAGATCAAGGAAGTTTTGCAACGCCATTAATGTCAACTTATGAAATCATAGCAAATTCCAAATATTCTATCATCTCGGCTACAGAATTACCTGTTAATAATCGAAATAAAAGTAGCCACCAACTGCAAAGTATATCGACAGTTTCAGGTTTGCTTCAAATGTTTGATAGTGACAATAGTGATGATAACACTAGTATATATTTTAATATTTAATGTTGTTTTATAATAAACATTTTGTTCTAATATTTTAATTATAAATTCATTTAGGCTACTATGAAGGGAATTATAAAAAACCAACAAAGGGCAAGAAAAGACAAAAAAATAATGACAACGAAGATGAAGACAACAATGAGACTGCCCAATCTCTTAGAAAAAGGAATGGTAAGTTAGACTCAGATTATATACTATTGATTATTTATTATTTATTAAATGAATTTTTTTTATAAATACAGGAAAGCCCGAAGCTCTGAAAGACATGACAAACATTTTCGAAATTTGTTAATAGTTAGTTCAAGAAAGGCCAGATATATTAACAACAGCAAACCAAATACATGCTATGCAAACATCTTTAGATTCGCCTGCTGTAAGGTTTCTCAGCCTGAAGTAACCATAGCACCAAGGAACCTTACTGATGATAAAGTACTGTATTTTTTTAGTTAAACAGATCTCTTGCAGTATGGGTTACACCTGTTCTAAATCAATTGATTAATATATAATATATTTATTAGTGGTGTCACTTATACTGTAAGAGATCCAATTAACCTTATCTAATATAAAAATTAAATTTGTAAATTTTATTATATAGAGTTTTGCTTGGCTATGGCATGAAGAAATGAAGTGTCTTTTTCTTAGATATAGAAATCCACTAGATAGAGCCATTGAAAGCCTTATTACCGAAATATTTAACTATGAACTTTATAGTAATAAAGCTGTAGAAATTATTTGTCATTCAAAGCGAGTGTTTACAGATTTTCGCAGCAAATTCAACAAAAGTATAGCTGAGTTAGTACATGAATTTAAGGAAAGGGGGTTAGGAGAACAAATATTAACACCATTGAGATTGGATATCAACGAATTCATAACTTACAAAGTTGGTGAATGCTTATTAAAAAGATATTTGAGCAGTACTAATAAAGATAAGCTTAGGAGGTGTGGAACAATGGATATACTCATTAAATTAATCAAGGAGGTGTTTAAAATATTTTTTACTGCTTATAATATGAAAGCAATTAAGAGACTTGACAATCTTATGATAGGATGCAGAATTCCGAGTAAGTCTGATAAAAACATAAAATCAAGGATTTCGATTTCTCTTACAAATAGTAGTGATAGCAATTATATCTGGAAAGTGCTTAGTCTGTTTTTTTATAATACTTAAGCATTTACATTTGATTTATTCTGTATGAAACATTAGAGCTTGATTGATTATACGTATGCAGTTATGATGCAATGAAGATTTATATATAGTAATATTATAGCACTTTATTATTAGCTCACACAAAAAATGGCTCAGTATTGGTGCTACACTTTATGTCCAAATCTGTTTATGTTTCTAATTCTGTATGTGCTGATTATACTGATACAGAAAAAGTTCTGTTTTTTTATATTGGTATTTATTGTGCCATAATAACAATGCCCGTAGCTTACAACCCCCCTAGCATCACCACCCTAAAAAATTTTGCTACTATTTTGCCAACCAATCAGAATTCAAGATTCAGTGTAATACAAAAAATGCAAAAAATCAAAACAAACCAAAAAATCAACATTTTCCTATGAAACTGCTTTCTGCGCATTAACAAAAAGTTTTTCTTGCGAAATTTTGGTATTAAAAAAACTTTCTTTAACCTAACTTAATAGCAAAACCTAACCTTAATTTATCTGCGAAATTTTTTTTAGTGAAATTTTTTAAGTTGGTGATGCTAGGGTCTTAGTAGCATACCACAAAAAAAATTTTACAGAATATGATTTTTAACAAATTAGGCTAAAGGATCAGTCGTAACGTAAAAATCATGCAATTTCAAAAAATTGCTAAATAACTCAAAATTTTGTCATTTAAATTGCCTTCTGCATTCTAGCAAAAAAATCCTTGTGAAATTTTGGTATAAATTATGTCATTTATTGGCCTTAATTATTATTCTAAAGATGTGATTTATTGATTCAAATTTTTCAAATTCAATTGTTTTGTTACACTCAATACATTGATCTAATTGGTTAAAAATCACATTTGGTAAATTTTTTTATAGGTAAATTACAAGAATAGCGATGATCTTGCAAGTGCAAAGAGCCTTAATATTAAATTTTACTAAGCTGAATTTTTTGCATGCTATAGTACTAAAAAAAATAGGATAATATTAGTGGTTAACATTAATTAAAGACAATTATAAATAATAATCAATTGTTCTTTCTATTATTTTGTGTAAATAAGTATGCTGATACACTCTATAGAAAGACTTTACATTATTTATACAGTTTAAAGTACTTTTTTTTAAAAAAAAAACTATGATGAATAAACAAAAAAGAAGTATATAGAAAGTTTTATTAGGGTTGTAGGATTTTAGTATTAAAAATAATCAAAATCATTTCTGGTTTTAGAGAAGTTAGCATGGTAATAACCTAATTCTACCTATCTTTATGAAGCCACTATTATGCTAACTTTTTTAAAACCAGAAATGATTTTGATTATTTTTAATATTAGAGTCCTACGACCTTAATAAAACTTTCTATATACTTCTTTTTTGTTTATTCTTTGTAGTTTTTTTTTAAAACAGTACTTTAAACTATAT